ATGAATGACTCTATAATCTTCACTAATCACTTCAACTAGTCGCTGTGGTAGAAAACTTCACACACACAAAAAATATTGCCCCGGAATTCACAACGAATTTTTAAAAAATCAACACTCAGGATGAATATCACTGACTAGGCCAGCCCTACCACCCATCACTAATTGTCTGGAGGTGGTGATGGAGGAATGCTGCATTCTTTAAACACTGCAGTCCTTGTGGTGTAGGAACATCAACAGTGCTTTTGGGAAGGGAGTTCTAGGATTGTCTCCGTGACAGCGAGGGAACAGCAATATATTCCCGGATGGTAAGCCACTTGGAGGGGAAACAGCAAATGGTAGCACTCCTGTGCATCTGTTGCCCTTGTCCTTCTAGATGGTAGGGTTTGCAGGTTTGGAATGTGTTTTTGATGGAGGCTTGGTGAATTATGCAGTGCACCTTGTAGGTGGTTCACATTGCTGCTTTCACCAGGCAGTGGAGAATATTCCATCACACACCTGTCTTGTTCCTTGTAAACAATGGACAGGTATTGAGAAGTCTGAAGACAAGTTACTCACCGCAGAATTTCTTGCCTCTGATCTGCTCTAGTAACCACAATGTTTGTATATGGATAGTCCAATTCAGTTTCTGGTCAATGGTATCCACCATAATATTGATACTGGAGGGGTTTGGTGATTGTAACGCCACTGAATGTCAAAGGGGGAGTAGATGGGTTTCTCTTCTTTAAGATGGTCATTGTCTGACATTTGCCTGGTTTGAATATTACATGTCATCTTTCACTACAAGCCTGAATATTGTCCAGATCTTGCTGCATATAGACACAGACTGCTTCAGTAAGTGAAACTTGCGAATGGTGCTGAATACCGTGCAATCATCAGCAAACATCCCCACTTCTGACCTTATGATAGAGGGAAGATCATTGATGAAGCAACTAAAAATAGATGGGGCCAGGACACAAGCCTGAGGAACTCCTGCAGAAATATCAGAGAACTGAAATGATCAATCTCCAGAAACTACAGCCATCTTCCTTTGTGCCGCATATGACTCCAACCAGCAGAGATTTAACCCCTCCAATTCCCTTTGACACGAGTTTTAGTATGGCATCAAGAAGCCCTAGCAAGTCAAATGCTGCCTTGATTTCAACGGCAGTCACTCTCACCTCACTTCTGAAAGTCAGCTCTTTTGTCCATGTTTTTGGACAAAAGCTACAATGAGGTCAGGAGAGGAGTGGCCCCAACAGAACACAAACTGAGCATTTTATTACTGAAGAAGTGCCACTCCATAGTACTATCCACAACCTCCTCCTTTGGTGATGATTCAGAAGACTTGTAGGGCAGTAATTGGCTGGGCTGGATTTGTCTTCTTTTCATGGACAGGATACATCTGGGTAATTTTCCACTGTTAGGTAGATGACTGTGTTGTAACTATACTAGAACAGCTTGCTAGGGTGCAGCTAGTTCTGGTGCACAAGTCTACAGCACTATTGTCAAAATGCCATCGGGACGCATCAGGTCTTCCACCACTTCTTGATACCACAGAGCAGCTAAAAAGTGGCATCCGAGATGCTGGAGACCTCAGGAGAAAGCCGAAATGGAAGGTTCATCAGCACTCACTTTTGGCTGTATTTATAGCCCTTAGGATAGATGTGAAGAACCCAAAACTATGAAACCTAACTAAAATCCTCAAAAAAAAATACTCAAACAGGTCTCTCTCAATCTTTCCTAGAGAAAAGATCCCAAGCCTGTTCAATCTTTGAAGCCCAGCATAGTCAGCTAAGAACAAGAGCAAAACCAGTGATTCAGTCTGTACAAACTAACCACCATCTGTTGCTTATTGGGAAGAGTGACTACAACACTGCAGTCAGACTGAGTCACAAAGACGGAGAGAATACAAGAATTCCCACATACTGACTTGCCCACTTACCCAAGGCCAGGGGAGTCCTCATCCTACTCCTTACAAATTGCTGAATGGCGATTTTCTAAACCAGACTATAATGTTACTTGGTGTGGTTTAGTCACACTTCTAGGAGGTCACCCAACCAAGCAATGGCATTAAGATAGGAATGTGTTTGTTGAATCCCTCTCAACCTCAGGGCAATGGAGAGAACAAGTCAGGGTCAGCACTCTGTAATGCTCCAGAATTGTTCCACTCTGGGAGCATCACAGGTGAGCTTAAGAGCCCTTCCAGGGTTTGAGCGCACATTTGGAATACACGCTGCTCTACCACAAACATGCTAAACCATTAATATGTCTGCTCCGAGAGATCCTTCCATTTCCTCAGTTCAGAGCAGGGACTTCCCAGCAACAATGCTGGCAAGGATAGCTAAGTTTGTAGACGACACAAAGATAGGTGGAGGGACAAGCAGTGTTGAGGAAGTGGGGAGGCTGTAGAAAGGCTTAGAAGTTAAGTGGGCAAAGAGACAATGTAATACAATGTGGCAAAGTGCAAGGTTATACATTTTGATAGGAAGAATAAAGACAGACTACTTTCTAAACAGGGAGGCTGAAAAGAAATCTGAAACAGAAAGGGACTTGGGAGTACTCATTCAGGATTCTCTTAAGGTTAACATACAGGTTCAGTTGGTGGTTAGGAAGGCAAATGCAATGTTGGCATTCATTTCAAGAGGCTAGAAAACAAAAACAGAGATGTACTGCTGAAGCTGTAAAAGGCTCCGGTCAGACCACATTTGAAATATTGTGAGCACTATTGGGGCCTATACCCAAGGAAAGATGTGCTGGTGTTAAAGGGATCCAGAGGAGGTTTACAAAAATCCCAGGGGTGAAGGCTTGTCATATGAGGAGTGGTTGAGGACTCCATGGAGTTTAGAAGGATGGAGGCAGGGGGGACCTTTAGAACTAGGATGAGGAGGAATTTCTTCAGCCAGAGAGTGGTGAATCTGTCGAACTCATTGCTACAGAGGGCTGTGGAGTCATTGAGTGTACTTAAGTCAGAGATAGATAGGTTTCTGATTAGTAACGGATCAAGGATTATGGAGAGAAGGCAGGATAATGTTTTCCATTCTCAAGAGAAACAGGTGACAAACATATCAAATAATCAAATGGCAAAGCAGACTTGATGGGCTGAATGGCCTAATTCTGCTCCTTTTTCTTATGGTCTAACATATTTTCCTCAACTGACAAGATTATACAGTTGCAGTAGCTTTTTCAAATAAATTATACGTTAAGTGCTTGGGAACATTTCTGACTGCACAATGACTTAACACAGTACGAACAGTACAACTTGCTCTTCAAATACAATTTGCCCCCAATCTCAAGAAGAGGCAACAAGAGCACCATCAGTGAGACAGAGGGAAGACAATTTCTTGCCGCTTGCCTCAAACAAACACCTGTCAATCGTGAAGAAGGTAGAACAGTCTCAAAACTGATTGGAGAAGTTTTATCCCAAGACACTAACACAATCCTCCCCCTCTGCACGCTCAAAGAACAAACTGCACGGAAAGAGGGCAGCAACGAGAGACAAGAAAATCAACTACAAATAACTCCTTCGGAGTACAGAAGCACAAGGGGAGTGTAAACATATGCGTGGACTGGCTGGGCCGAATAGCCAGTTTTTGTACTTCTTAACCTGTTACCAGAACACTCCTCTCTGACACCATGGTTGCTAGGCATCCACCATCACACTTGGGTGAGTAGTACAATTTATTATAGAATGCGCAAGATGTCAGGTGAAACATTGTCTGTTCATTACTTTTGTTAAAATGCTTTTCAAGCCAAGGGGAAGAATAACAGAATTATCACTCCATGCAAGTACGTAGCAGTCCCAATGTTGTACAATATGGACAGATGCAGAGCAGAGTTGCCTCTACAGTTGTTCCAAGAAGGGCCAAACACTGCTGAAAAGGGAGTCAGTGATTTACTTCAAAATGATCTGGTTTGTCCTCTTGAAGACTGCAGATCTTCAGCCAACTGTTCAAGGATAGCTAGTCAAGAATGAGGAACATTCAAGTGTGTAGAGAAGAATAAATGGGATCTCACTTGCCGGCTGATGTACAGATTATAAACCGATCACAAAAATATATTCCTTATCAGTAACAACATACTCTCAAAAAGGCCTCTAATTACACGAAAGAGCAACGAAGCCCATCTGATTACCACAAGCATCAACTGTGCTCTTATACTACATTCTGAAGACAGTTGGGTCATATATAGATCATGTCACTTTGTGGGGAATGTGCACTGCACACAACTCCCAAAACCAACCTTCTTTCACTGGTACAGAACCATAACTAACACCTTCCCCAGTAATATAGAGCTAAGCTTTGTACAAGATCGGAAAATAAAAGTGGTGGCTATTTCTATCTACTTTAAAGAAAGGCTTCTCCACAACCAGCTTAGTGACAGTAACTAATGTGTGAGGAATATGAAATCTGAATAATATAGCAGGTGCTCAAGTGTGTGCAAGCAGAAGGTGCAAACTTCATCCCTAGTGATAGAAGCCAACTTGTGATATAAGGATTCTGTAGCTTGCAGCCATCCAACAGAGTAAAGTGATCATGAATATTTCGCCAGCCAACATTTGGGTCCACAATGAAGCAGCGAGTGCCAAGTTGAAATAAAAGGTTTGGCTGGTTGGTAATAACTAATGCATGCAGTTGAGCCCTATGCACGAGCTAAGGGGTGTAACTGTACATATTGCAAGACTTTTTCAGAGAATGGTCATAGCTGCTGAAGGCTAAAATAGTTAAAGAAACTCTCCCACAAGACTTCTAGCCACCTCACTCAGTAGCAGAACACAAGTAGTCTCACCTCAAGAACAGAAATGGACAACAACACGCTAGGTTCAACTTGATCTCAAGATCTAGAATGGCTTCATCAGGGTGATGCTCTCTCAAGTCTAAATCAGCAAATTGCAGCTTTGATTCACATTTGAGGAAGTTGAGCATAAAACTAGTTGCTGGTACTCTCAGTACAGTAGCGCTGAGGGAGTGCCTTCAGTGTACAGATTGCTGTCTTTTGGCTGAGATGTTGAACTGAGGACCCACCTGTCCCCTCGGATGGTGGTAACAGATCCTTGCTTCCGATACGGAAGGAGCATTGGAGTTCTCCCCAGCCAGCACTATGCAAAAGAAAATCATGATCTTATTGTTGTCGGTAGGACCTTGCTGCAAATCCTATATTTGACCAGTGACTGACTTTAATGTAATTGACTATTTTAAATTGGCTTAAAGCATTTCATATGTCAGGAGGGGGAGGGGTCAAGAAAAATGCAAGCTCCTTTTTCTAGCTTAAAACTAAGAAAGGACTCTCGCTTCCAAATTCAATGCAAATTGAATACCTTGCCTTTCCTTGGCAAAACACCCAAACATAATCTCAAAATACATTGGGATCAGGAACCTGACAGAAGTGCAGTGCAGAGCGTTTGATGGACTTCCCTACAGATCAATTACCAAGGTTTGGTTCTCCCTCACTCTCTCAAACAGAGAGACACATTGTGCAAGCTCGCGGTTTGCATTATATGCCACCTACAATGCAGGCAAAACAGTGCCAGACAGATTTGAAAATAGACAAAGCAAAAAAGGAGGAAAGGTTGGGAGTAACTAGTATGTCAAATTGATCAGAGGTTCATTAATGGGCAAGAGAAGGAAAAATGGCAGGAATTTCAGGCAAGCTAAAAGCATAGTGGAATAACTGGAATGGGACGTACACAAATCTGAAGAAAAGGCACATGATTGTAGGAAGTAGAGATAGTCAAAGGTAATGACATCCATTTAAAATGCCAGGTACTGAGGAACTAGGAGGCTATGTTAGAAAGGGTGACAATGATGGACAGTTTCCCATACAAGATGATGCACTCAACAAGTAATGCATGTGTTTGTTCTACCTGTGGGTTGTCTAGGAAAGAAGCTAAAAAGTGTGAGAGCCACGAATATCGCAAAATCAGCCAACTTTACTGCACAGAAGTGGTTTTTACACTTTAATTGCAGACAGAGAGAAAAGATTGGTTCAGTGTATATTTGTTAGCTCTAGGTAATGTCAAAGCACACCAACCCAAAGTCAACTTTAAAAGGTAACCCAGATTGCGCAATCAACATCAGGCTTGGAGCTGTAGCTCCAATAATGGTCTGATTATTCGACTGTGGAAGGAGGTAACTTTTCAGAGATTTAAAGAGTTTTGAATCATGCTAAGTAACTGTCACAAAGTATCACTGGAAGTAGGTAACATCAGGATTCCATGAGTTTTGCAAACAGTCAGTGCTGCAAAGACTTAACATGAAAGCAGTACCACACAGGATAAACAACAGGATGCTATCTTAAAGTGGGTAACTTTTTAAATTATTCAAGTCTACCACCCCCAATCCTGTTCCTGTTTAGTGTCACCAAACTCTCTGTCTAGTTGCAGTGTTCATACAGTGCAGATACAATATGACAATCTACTGGATTACGTTAACGTTTTCGACATCCACAATTACAGATTGTAGCAACTCATTTAAATACTGAGAAAATAACCCAATTTGACAAGTTATTACAAACCTTGAAGTTCTGAAATAAATAACAGGACAGGTTGGAGATTCTGATAAAAACTGCGAGAATGTTCAGGTTTTTAAAGATATGAACAAAAACACTCAAGACGACTTGTTTTTCAGAAGAAACAGAACAAGGCAGAAAGCGGAGCCTCAGTCACAAAGATCACTCAGAAAAAGACACTGCAACGTGCAGGAGGGAAACCATGAAATAGTTAAATAGCAGAAGATGATCAAGATAGACACGCCAAGGCAGTGTGAGAGAGAGTGAGGAGGGCTACTCACAGGAAACAGGGAAATAAAGGAACAGAAAATGCTGGAAATACTCAGCAACGGCCACATGGAAAGAGGAGTCTTTCACATTATTTTGTAACCCCAGAAAAAAAAACTCGGTTTAACAGCAACGGCGGCACAGATTGGGTCTGTTCTACGGAGAGAGATGGATTTAAAAATTCAGGAGAAAAAGGGGAAATGGGAATTTCCCTCAGGTGTTTTTTTTTATTTTAATACCCAGGCGGTCAGGTTTAAAGAACCCTGGATCCCAGCGCCAGGAGGAGGCCGAGCCTGGGAAGGGGCCACTAGGCCCGAAGCCTCGGTCTTTCCTACGGGTCGGGAGCCGCTTCTGTCCCCGGCGGGGGTTTATGAAGCTGAATGTCCCCTCCTCCAACAGGCCCCGATCCCCGGGCTCTCTGCCTCTCTCCCCCCCCCCCCCGCTCCCCAACAGGCCCCGATCCCCGGGCTCTCCGCCTCTCCCCCCCGGCTCCCCAACAGGCCCCGATCCCCGGGCTCTCCGCCCTC